TGGCTCATGGGAGGAAACACATTGAATTCTGCTTCTGTACCCATTTCCAGTAATGATGCCAGGGTAGATTTAATGCATTAGAGTTACCATGCAAAGTGTCATAAACTGAGTGGCTTAAAGGACCCTAAATCCAAGATCAAGATGTCACAAGGCCTGGCTCCTGCATGCTGAGAGGTATCTGTGCACACCTCTCCCCTTCCCCTGGTGGTCCATTGCCAATCTTCCACTTTCTTTGGCATACAGAAGCTCCCCGATCTCTGCCATATTTTCATGTGGTGGTGGTGGTGGTGGTGTGTGTGTGTGTGTGTGTGTGTGTTCAAATCTCCCTAAAGAGGATTTGGGCCCCCTAAAATGACCTCATTTTGGCTTGATTACTTTTGTAAAAAATCCTTACCACTTAATGTTAGAGGATTAGGAGTCCACATCTTTTTTGAAAGGACATAATCCAGTCCATTACACCATATAACAAAGTTAAAGGTCAGGTTACATCTAAACTCTAGGCTTGCTTCCAGAGTACAGTCAAATCTACCAACAACAAAACTGTTTTCAGATTACATTTCTCTTAAAAAAAAAAAAAAAAGCAAAAAACAAAGTTAAAAGTTCGGGTTATTGCTCTGATGAATTGCTTTCGGTAACTATAATATATGGGAAACTAGTGAACTACCAGGGTCAATTTTGTTCCTTTATTTGATTGCTTAGGACAATTTTGTGGAGTGTAGCAAATTAGAAATCTTCCATTTCCTCTCCTAGAAAAGTCCTAAGGACCGGGGCTGGAGAGATGGCTCAACAGTTCAGAACACTGACTGTTCTTGCAGAAGACCTGGCTTTGAATCCCAGCACCCACATGGCAGCTAACGACTGTTGGTAACTGCAGTTCCAGGGGATGTGACGGCCTCTTCTGTCCTCCGCGGGCACTGTACAACACGGGCACACTTACCCACATGCAGGCAATAAAAAAAAAAGTCCTAAGGACCAAATCATGACTATAATAAAAGTACTGAAGTTGGTAAGAATTTGGGATGATGCTACATACATTTTGTTACTGTAGCACTTTTTGTTTTTTCTAGACAGAGGTGTTGCTGTGCAATCAAGGCTGAACTTAGGCTCAAAGGATCCCTTAGCTTGGCCACTGTGTAGCTGCACTACAGACATGCACCAGAGTCTGGCTCATCTTTTTTTTTTTTTTTTTTGTCTTTTTGAAATAGGGTCTCCTTGTAGCCCCAGCTGTCCTGGAATTTACTACGTAGACCAGGCTGGCCTCGAACTCACAAAGATCCACCTGCGTCTGCCTCACAAGTGCTGGCATGTGCCCCTCCAAGACCGGCAATGGCTCATCTTTTTTAAAACTTAAAATCCAAAAAATAAAACTGATAAATGAGTTCTGTATGAATTCACTTCTGCATGTAAATTTTAAAGATTTCATTAAGTAGAGGTTGCCATTGAAGAAATATATGTATTTCATTAAAATGAGAATATTCAACAATAAATGTAAGAATTAAGAGACTTCTGGCTTATTGAAAAACTGAAGAACCCAAGGGCCTAACAAATGCTTTTTGTGTTTATATCCTGATTGCTTGGTATTTTTTTTTTTCCTTAAGATTTATGTGTATCTGTGTTTTGCCTGCATTTTCATGAGTCCCACATGTATACCTGAAGCCTGCAGAGTTCAGAAGAGGGAACTGGATCCTCCAGAACTGGAGTTATGAACAGGTGTTAATTCTGAGAACTGAACCTGGGTCCTCTGGAAGAGCAGTGCTCTTAACTGCAGTCATTTGCATTGGTTTGAATGAGTATGTTCCCCACAGGCTCCAAGTATTTGGACATTTTTGTCCCCAGTTCTGGGAGGCTCTAGGATGTCTTGCCTTGCTGGAGTTAACCTCATCACTGGGGGTAAAGCTTTGAGAGTTGTTAAACCCTGCTAGATTTCCAGTCTGTCTCTGCTTCCTGTGCCTGCTTGAAGATGTGATCCTTTGGCTTTCTGCTCTGGTCACCTACCTTCATGCCTCCTCCACCATTATGGATGCTAACCCCCTGGAACTGAAAAAAAAAAGTTTCCTTCTATTAAGTTGCCTTGGTCATGTTGTTTTACCACAGCAACAGGAAAGTGACAGATAAGCCATCTTTCCAGTCCCCACCTCCATACTTTTTTGAAAGATCATGAGGGTGAACTATGCCTTGACCTACCTATGCAACTCACTGTCTATATAGCTAGGGCACTGTCCTTAAAAACTGCTTTCTCATTTAACATATCCCTTAATTAGACTTATTTTCCAATGATTTTCATTTTAAGTTTAAAAAAATATTTTGTGTATTGAATGTTGTGTGTACGTGTTATCAGTGTCATGCAATGCCTGAAGAAGACAGAAGAGGACATGAGATCCCTTGGAAATGAAGTTACAGAAGGTTAAGTCACCATGTGGGTGGTAGGAACCAAACCCAGGTCATCTGCAAGAGCAGCCAGTGCCCTTGAAGTGCTGAGCCATCTCTCCAGTCTGATTTCCATTCTTATATTCTCAACCCTCATCCCTTAAAATGCCACTTATTTTAGAATCTGACAATTTGTAATTTATTTTTATGTGGTGTGTGTGTGTACATATGCAAACCATGTAGCATGTGTGAAGTTCAGGGGAAAACTTGAGGGAGTTGGTTCTCTTTTCAACATGTGGGTCTTGGGGACTGAAAGGTCATCATCAGCTTTGTAACAGGTACCCTTACCTGCTGAGCAGTAGTTAATTACTTCCTTTTGCTAATAAGGTCCCAGAGCTATTTTACATGGGGAGGACACACCAGTACTTGGTGTGCCAGGCAGCTTTCTAAGAGCTTTACCCACAATGACATAACACAGTCACATCTATTAGAGATGACAGATGAGCAAACTAAGGAACAGAGAAGTAACTGTCCAAGGTTCACAGTAATGATGGCCATAGGATTCAAATATGATTAGCTAGTTGCCAGTCTATGCTGTCAATCACATTATGCTCCCTCTTGAAATAACAGAAGAGAATATTTTTGCTTAGTTATATTTTATGAAAGGCAAAAAAAAAACAAAAAAAAACCCAGAAATTTGAACTTTCATCTCAGGAGCCATCACAGATTATGCTTTTTACCCTATGCAAAGGTAACTATACATAAATGTCTAGTTTTTTTTCAAATCCAAAGGACAAGAACAAAACTCATACATATATATTTTAAATAAACCTTTGAATCAGAATTAATGGCTAAATGGTCCACCTACTGAAAAAGCATTGTACCACAGTCATTTTGGCTATTATCTCAAAGAGAGATCTTAAGGGCAAAAGTCCTACATATCATTTGCCAATATTTTAAAAAAACATGTCTAGTTACAAAAGAGTTTCAAAGTTCTTGAAAATAAGCAAATTATTTTTTTGCATTATGTAACTATTACTTCAACAACCTTTGAAGAAACATTACTCAAAAATTTTGGAGAACAAAAACTATAAAGCCAGACTGTTGGTAGAGGAGACAATAAACTGTAAGTTAGAAAATTTACAAACATACATTTATTCAAGAAATAAAATTACTAGTCCTTACAGGACAATGATCATTCCACAATGCAAAATAATCACATGTATTAGGTCTATACCAAATCATGCTGACATTCTTTCCAGGTAACCCATAACCATTTCTCCTATTAAATTCTAGCATTTTAACTGTAAACAAAGTACTTAAGCAAAATACCCCTCAAAAAATTTATGAGGAGAATGATTTTAAATGTGAAACATATAATTCCAAGAACAAGCCTACTGCAATGTAACAGTATAATAACGGACAAGGTGGCCACATTTGGACAGCATATAATCAGTTTTCTCATCTGTAAATTTTTTGTTTTTGTCTTTTTGAGACAGGGTCTCCTTGAAAAAATGGAAAACTGGTGGAGAAGGTAATTTATATTCATAATTTACAAATCAAACATCTATTATATTCTTACTGTGTGCCTAGTTTACTTACAAACCATCCATTTTATTATACTAAAATTCCTTCGCTTCCTCATTACTAGACTATGATTAGACTATTGTATAATTTTGCCAATGAAGTTTTTATGGTATTTAAATTCTGACATATCTCATGAAAGTTGCAGTAATGAAAACTATTGCTACTCATGCTCAATAGTACCAAGCAAAACTATGTATTTGACTCCTTTAAGTTATCCTTATTTTAAGATTTATAAATAGGTGCCAAACCACACAAAGAACAGATTGTGAATTACTGCAGAAGAAACAAAACAAAACAAAAACCTTACTCAACTTACTAAGTGTCAACATCAAAAAAGACTGAACTTGGCTGAAAGTTCTGAAATGGCTGCAACACAGAACAGGAAGCTGTAACTGGTAAGAAAACACTGATACAGCCTTAAGACCAACTGCAGCTCCAGCTACGCCAAGTAAGTTCTCCAGGGGTTTACTCGCCCTGTGATTCAAGAAAACGAGCAGAACAATTAACATTACGGTTTATATGCACCATAGCTTTCTTTAATATATAAAGTTATACAACAAATACCTCTAATAATTTTACAATTAAATTAAAATATGTCATAACTCTTCTATACTACTTTGGTCTCAACATCTCAAAAACACATCAGTTAATTTTGAAAATATACAATTTAACAACATGACCCTATCAATATCAAGCACGTTTTGTTGTGGATTAAAGACATTCAACCATGCAATCCAGTGTTTAATACCTAAATGATAAATAACAATGCTGATTGGCTTTTACTCTGGAAATCACTGAAAACTGCAATAATCTTTTAAGACTCAGTGCTCGCAAACATGCAGAAAAATGTATGCTTCTATTCTTCCTGAAGGAATGTTACAAAATGCCTATTTTTAAAATAAAGTATCAATAATTATGACAAATTTCTACATTTTTCAATCCAGCACGTTCCTTTTAGCATGGCATTTAAAAAGTTTAAAAGGTACAAATGTTCCTATCATCTGTGACTGAAAATGCATTTCGATTCTTTAATTTTGGCTTTTAGAAGACCTTAGTCAAAAATCATACACTAATAGCTGCCTTTTAGTAAAATAGTGACATTCAGTGGGCAAATAACAAAGTGTTGTTCAAAATTCCCATCACTATATTGAATCATGAATGTATCTTGAGATTTAGATTATTTTGAATCACTACTCATTTTGAGACTCTTACGAAATTGCTTCCTAATTTCTATGTATCCTAATATATCCCCTCCTCTTTATATTTAAAGTCAGTTCTTTAAGCTGAGATAGTAAAATTGTACAGCTCTTTAGGTTAGTGAAGTTAAAGGTATTACTTTTTTTCTTGTTTCCAGTATTTTAAAGCACAAACCTACTGGCTCATCTCTAGACATGGGCGAACCAAAATATGACAACTATATTTAAATACAAATGAATGGCATTAAGAAAATTGGCAAAACTGATATCTGAGCTTGTTTGCATTTATAATTCATGATTATCTTGTTTAAATATAAATAAGGGATTTAATCAGTAATGCTAATCATCAAATTACATCCTCTCACCTCACTGCTTAATATTATGAAAGAATAGGTATTTTAGCAATGATTGCTTCAGTGTCTAAAAACTTACTTTTATAAATCAGTAAAAATGAATACCCATTATACATTGTTTAAATAAAAATAAACTTCCGCTATTGTTATGATTTACCATTAATTATAAATATTATACGCATGTTCCAAGTACAAAACGCAGCAGAGGTGTTAACATCGACAACAGAGTGAACTGCTGCAGGCAAGACTGTGGTTTAATTTCTTGGAAAACTATAAAGAAATTTCACAAACAAATTACAGTAAGCAAAGAAGAAAAAAAAATGGAGAACTGTTTCTTTTACCTAAGTTGCCAAATGAAAATTTTTTTCTAAAAAAAGATTAAGAATGTAAAAGTACAGTTTAATATTAAAAAAGCATTTTTAAAAATCTATAACAACTTTATGACAAAATCTGCATTTGAAAAAGGCCTGTAAAAACAGCAGGACAGAACTGCCCTCATCACCTTTACTTTTTCTTGTCAGAAAAAAGTGTATGCTGCTCTACAACCATAAGTGATGTTAAAATAGGCATTTATAAAATGGCAAGGAAGATTTCATGGGAAGGTTCTGGTTTTTTACAATCATTAGCATTGAGCCCATCAGTAGATCACAAGTAAAACTTCTCTGGCTAAAAGCAAAATGGAATAGAAAATTTTGAATGATTAGGTCTGTTGTCTGCGTTTTGCTGATCTCGTTTTTTCAAAGCGTGACTCCATTTCTTCTAAGACTTTCGGCGTATACCGTACAACTAATTTAACCTTTCCTTGGGCTGCCTTCAGCAGCTCTACAGCTTTCTCATGATGTTCTCCTTCAACACTCTGAAAAAATGCACACACACAATTAATTAATATTTAAGTTTTACAAATAATTGAAAAATGTAAAAATGCCCAAAATTTCTTAGTGTATCATTTAAACATTCTAAAACTAAGAAATGATCTTGCTTTATCGCTTTAATCAATGTGAAATCCTACATGCTATCATATTTTGTGTCTAGTCCAAGAACTGGTCTAAGATCCAGTAAACGAGCATATATATCGACACGCATGTCTTATTGTGCACTATGTCATAAGTAAATCAAGCAATTGCCATTCTGCCCAAGTAAAAGGAGGGAAGGTTTCTAACTTAATATGCTGCTTTAACGTCACAAAAGCTAATTATGTCATGAAACTCACTCAAAGCAGAGGAATGACCTACAACTAACTTACAGTGCCTCAAAAAGCATTGGGTTGGTGCATTTCAGTGGGAATGCATCCCTGGGTTTGACCTCAGCAGACCAACCAAGCAACCACACAAAGAACACTGGCCCAACTACCTGGGATTCTCTCAAGAGAATTCTAGACTACTAGATTTCATAGATTTTTTCCCCCACTTATAGCCTCTGCTTCTATAACTCCAATCCACCCCCAAGTGGTTAAAACTCACTACTACAAACAGCAAATATGGATAACATTTCTCTTTACCACGCCGTTCACAGAAAGTAGTTGATCTCCTCTTTTCAGGCCCCCATGTCTATCAGCAATTCCACCCGGAATTATTCGTGATATATAGATGGGAGAGTTTTGTTCTTTGCCTCCCATGATATTAAATCCAAGGCCCTCTTCTGTTTTTGGAAGCTCTACAACACGAGGATGAGAGTGTCCTTCACTGGCAGCAAATGCAGCGACAGTAGCCTGAAAGAAAAATATACCTAATCTAAAAACATGATCTCTCTTTTTTTCTTTTTAATTTTTTAGGTGCTAGGGTTTGAACCAGGGACTTGTGTATGCTAAGCACCCTTTGCTCTAAAGCCATTTTTGAGGCACATTAACTTTTTATGTCTCAGATTCCCTAGGTATTGTATCTAGTAAGATAAACGGGTTTTTAAGAGACAACAACCAAAAATAATACTCAGGAACGATGTCACTTAGCTCACTCAGATCACAGTAATTTTGTGCCACTCCGTGTGCACAGGGAGGCTTGCTGGGCAGGCGCATGCTGTGAATATACTAAGGAGATGCTCTCCCTTAGGCCAACAGTGCTGAGCTTCAAAGCCACATAGACTGGCTTCTTCAGGAGCCTTCCTGTAAGGTACAGTTTCCCTACCAAACATGGTCTACATGAAGTCATTCTGGTATCTACATTTTTGTACCAAATACTAAATAACAAAGACATCAAGAAATAACAATATTAAGAAAAGGGGGGGACACATAAAACAAAAGTATTTTTTGTTGCCTTAGCTAATTAATTACAATTGAAAAGGACAGCATAGATGAAATACACCCATATCTAACTAACTACTAACATAATGTTTAGATTTTGTTTCATTTTGACTTAGTTTTTTTTTTTTTTTTTTTTTTGTGACAGGGTCTCCTGGAGCCCAGGCTGGCCTCAAACTTCCTATGTAGGTGAGAATGACTTTGAATTTCTGATCTTCTTGCCTCTACCTCCCAAGAACTGGGATTACTGGCATAAAGCAACACACTTGGTTTTATGTGATGCTGGGGACTGAATGTAGGGTGTTATACATGCCAGGTAGGTACTCTACCAAATGGGTTATACCTCCATGTTTCCCAAAACGCAAGTTTCCATGCATTTAGCTACTTTGACAAACTAAATACACATTTAAGTATTTAACAAAGAATCCATTATTTCCCCTTGTGAACCAGTAACTAGCACTAAAAAGATAGCCTGCTACTGAGGACTTCTAGTTAGAAGTTAATATATTCTAAGTACATATAATATATAGTTAGGTCAGAGTCTAAAGTATTTGAGGAAAACAATACTGGTACAGAAAAGCACACAAACATATCTGTGGCTCTCAGGAGGTACCTAGTACTGACACTGTATCACATCTGCAGGGTCAAGGTAAAGGGAAATCAAAACGCAGTGTGAGGGAGTACCTAGTACTACCCTTTACTGCCTACCTGTGGGCTTGAGAAAAGCAACCCAACCTTGAAGCTTCCTTGTCTATTAAAATTAATGCTATATACACATCACCTGAGTAATGTATTGAATACAATTATATGTGATGCCACACGCATGCCATTGTATTTGCAATGCGTTATCTAAACAGTATCACAAAATATCTTATGTAAAGCCAATAAAACATTCCTTTTTCTTAGTATTTGAGTTTAGTGTTGTGTGAAAGACATTCGTTTTCAAAATAAGCTTACTATGACTCTAAACCTTCAATTTATAATGACTGCCATGTTATACGTGTACATATATATTTATGTATGTTTGTATACATATGTATATATATATGGCTATGTGTGGTTTGGCCATAGGTTGACACTGGGATGTCTTCCTCCATCGTTCTCTGCCTTTTTATTTTTTGAGGGGTCCAAAGTTCACCATTTCAGCTAGATTGGCTGAAATGGTAAGCCAGCCCTCAACCCATACCTCTCCACTTCCAGGCACTGATTTTTATGTGTACTGTCATGCCCAGCTATTACATGAGAGTGAGGGATCTGTACTCAAGTCTTCATGCTTGTACAGCAACCACTTTACCCACTGAGCCATCTCCCCAGTCCGTTTCATTTATATTTTTTGACTTTCCACTTCTGATAAATGAAAATCTTTACCTTTGCGGTTGCATTAGCTCTCACTTCAGGACTGCTACTGATGTCTACAGTCTCATAGACATGTTCGTATACCTGTAAAACAAAATTGTCACCATACTTAAATCTCGGCATATACCATGTGTGCTGGATAGCTTTAGTTGTCAACTTGACACACCTGGGTTGAAGGGAGCCTCAATTGGAGAACTGCGTCCATTGGACTGGCCTGGGGCCATGTCTGTGGGGTATTTTCTTGATTTTTGAGTGATGTGGGAAGGCCCAGCCCACTGTGGATGATGCCACCCCTGGGCAGGTTGCTCTGTATTGTATAAGAAACCAGGCTGAGCACGGGCCAGAGGAGCAAGCCAGCAAGCAGCGTTCCTCCATGGCCTATGTTTCAGGTCCTGCCCTGAGTTCCTACCTTGGGCTTCCTGATAAACTGTGACCCGAGAAATATAAGCCAAATAAACCCTTTCCTCCCCAAGTTGGTATTGGTCAGAGGGTTTTGTCACAGCAAGGAAGAAGCAAACTAGAACACCATGTTTGAGTTCTCTGTGAGGTTAATAAAACTTTAGGCAGTTATATATTTTGTAAATGTAAATGTTTTTCCATTAGGTATTCCAGAGAAAACTTTCTGTTTTGGTGGTAGCACTGAGGACTGAGCCCAAGGACTTTGTACATGCTAGTGCTCTAAGTACAACACCTAGCTAGACCTCCAGCCCTAGAAATTCTAAAAAATGGGAGAGATCAGTTCTAATTTTTAGTTCAAGTTTTTCTCCCCAACCTTCATCTATCCCTTTTGAGACATGCTGACCTGGAACTCACTATGCTTTATCATATCCAGCTCTACAGTTTCTGTTATTTCTAAATCCACACTTCAGTGTATTACCTTAATTACTTCACATTTGAGTACATTTTAATTCTGTTTACTTACCTCCCTCACAGCATTGCAGAACTCACTCTGAAGGACTCTTTGTAAAGCTTGAAGTTTCTGTGGGGGTACCTCTCCACTCCTTTGTAGTTTCTCCAACAATTCAATTGCTCTGCAAATATCTATAGGTAAACAATCACATATTATAAGGTTCCCTAAGGCTTCTCCATATTCCATCATAACTTTATGTATAGTTAAGAGTAATATAAGGACTAACCAGATGTGGTGCCCAACATGAATAATTTTCACCCCAGATGCCGAGGCACGAGGATCACTACATGCTACATGGAAAAGGACCAGGCTCAAATGTGGCAGATAAACAATGTACTACTTTAGAAAAGGTAGCAGTATATCAAGAAAATTAGTCAATGAAATTTTGCCCAATCATTTTACTGGTAATCAAAGCAACTGAACAGTACAAGATAGCATGTGCTAGTGAAAACTCAGTTCAATTCCCTGAAGGAAAACATGATACATATATAAACATCAATAATAATACCTCCTAAGTTTCAATAACAGTATCTCTCTTTCAATAGTATTAATAATAGTTTCCTCATAAAAGGAAAACAAAAAGGTGCTCAGTAAGCACAAACGTTACGTCATACTGGCATGATTAATCCCAAGAAATATTAAGGGATTAGGGGGCTGAAGGAGTGGCTAGGCATTTATGAGGATTTCCTGCTCTTCCAGCTTCAGGGAATCTGGTGCTCACTTCTGGCCTCTGCAGGCACCCACATTTCATAAATTCACACCGACACACATACACAAAAATAAAAATAAATCTTGAGATTCTATTACCTCTGCTAATTAACCCAGATTTTAAGGAAATTTTAACTATATTTACTTACCTCTAAGGCTAGAATATCCACAATTCTATATATTCTAAACTCTTTGCATACTTTTGACTTAAGTGGTAAGTTTATTTCATGTTACACTAAAGGACCGATATTTTTCTTTATAGAATTAGTTAAGGCTTTCTTTGTGCTTGCAAACAAACAATAACAACAACAAAACTACTGAGAAGCAAGCAGTTGACTAATTTTTTAGATAAGAAAAACTTACACTGATTAGACCACCTCTGCTCTGATTTCCCACCAGCAGAATGGCTAGTAAATGGGGACTGTTGTTTTACCCATTATTTTGAATTACAAAGTTACAATGTGTTATTGACATAAAAATGCCCTATTAATAGGGCTAGAGATGTAGCTCAGTGGTAGTGTTTGCCTAGCATGTGCAGGGCCCTGGATTTAATATCCAATGTAGAGGAAAGAAGCAAAGGAAAGAAAAAGAGACAGGGGAGAACTCAATCAACCAAACATTGGAAAAAAGTAAAATACCAAACTGTACCTAATATATGCATAAGTTTGTTCTCCAGTAAATTATGTTTTGATGATTTAGAAGGCATGCAGGAACTTGGTCACATGCACTCATTTTGAGCTGTGGAACTGCTGAGCATTATTTAAGTCCGTTGCAATTTTTATCTGATTTGCTTATGCTGTTAACTGGAGACCAACTCGTAATTCATCCCTACTGATGTGCTAAGCTTTGTACTGCAGCACTGAAAAGAACACTAACAGCAAAAAGCAAATGCCAGAAAGCAAAGGTCCACATTTTGCGCTTTTAAAAATACAAAAGAAGGTCAACTTGTTTGAATCCTCTAACTACGAAAGAAAAACACTTACTCTTATTAACACCAAGAGGTCTGTTGCCATCTACAAAGTGCATCACCACTGTGCGCAGGAAGAAAATGTCATAGTGGTATGCCTACTTTAGTCAGTCTTTCTCAAGTAACTACTCCTCTGTCACAAAATGCTTTAATCAAAGCCCTGGTGGGCTGGAGAGAAACAATCTCATTTATATAGACTTCCAAATGGTGAAACACCATAAGGAGCAAACTAACTTACTTTAAGAGCACAATTGTGGGGAGGCATTAAGAAAGGGGTTCTTCTGAGCACACCAACTCTAAAACTATTTCCTTCTTGAAGAATTATTAATATACAGAGAAACCACGAATGTTAACATATGCCAAGTAATTTCAAATTCCACCCCTTGTTTTGTTTACCAACAGTACACAAAAACAGTTAGCACTCCTTGACTATTATAAATAACTTCTAACGCTGGTGTGTCAAAACTATGCTCCAACTGTTTGAAATACAGGATTTCGGGAGGGCAGAGCCCAAAGTTGGAAGTCTGGAAAAAGACCCTGTAGGGGCACAGCCCAGGTATTTTCACAGGATTATCCAGAATAAGTTTTCTTTTCCTTGATTGTTCTAAGCAGCAATCAACCAACCAACGTTTGCAATTGTAAATAAGGAACAACATTGCATTTACAAGGGATTTACAATCTACCACTATTCCACCAAGTTATGTAACCTTTCCAAGATCTCCTGGAGTGTTTTCAAGACATCTCTGTTCCTGGGAGAGGCGTAAAAACTAGGCAATACACCAACTGAAACCCCAGTAAGGTTGCGGTCAAAGTATTGACGGAGTCTGTATCTAAATGGGGTGGTGTGTGGGGCTGTTGTTTCCTGCGGGAATGTGCCAAGGAGGGCACACTCGATTGTGCGTGCCCACGGACAATGCACGCCGTTCCAACAGGGTGTGCGGCATTCGCTTTTCAGGTTTACAGGTCCCCGAAAGCTGAGCGCAGCGCGCACGAGGGAGGCCGTGTGCAGTGCGTGCCTACAAACGCGAGCCGCTCTCAGCCACCGAGCTGCGCCCACTGTCCCCGAGAACGGAGGAGGGGTCTGGCGAGCGTTCAGAACGCGGTCAGCGGCTCCCAGGGCGAGGAACAGGCGGGCTCCGGTGTCGGAGTCCCGGCCGCCTCCTCTCCGCTCCGGCGAGCTAAACCGTCCGCCACGACCCGTCCCACCCACCACGGCTGGGCCGTCCGCAGTACTCACCTCTCTCCAGCCGGACAGGCTCCCCCAGCGCAGCCATCTTCTCTTCGGCGATACAGACCCACAGGAAGTGACGACAGAGGGCTGTGGTGGGTGGGGCCCAGAGGGAACCGGAAGAGCGAGGATGGAAGTATCGTGAGAGTGGGACCGGGTGGCCACGACTCACGCTGAGTTCTACCGGGTGAGACTCTGAGGCGGTGCGTGCTCCAGGGTCGGTGTGTGCTCGCGGAGTTCTCCAGTGCCCCGGAACCTGCGGATGGAAACTGCTCAAGTCCGGACTGTACCTGCCTCTGCGAACCCTGTGCTCCAAATGGGGGAACTCCGGAGCCTGGGTTCCAGCTCTCAGCAACTTGGCAGAGCTCTGATCATGGACTTGCACGGTGTTTCCCCCTTTGTACGAGAAGTCCCCATCTTCGAGATCCTTATAAAATCCCAGATTGCTTAAATTTTAAAAATTCAAAGTTCGAATTTTTAGTACAAGTCTGTTTGAGCATAAGGGTGGACGGTATAAAAAACATGAAACAGCCATGAGACAGAAAATGCTTTAGTACACCACAAAGTAACAATGTTAAGTTGATTTAAAATCTTGTGTAAACGAAATAATAAAACACAGTCTGTTTTAGAGGTCCACTTTCGAAAAAACTTGAAGTTTGAAAATTTTTTGTTTCTAAAGCCTTGCAGAGTTATCTCCCTAATTCACCTACCTATGTCTCATCGAACCCCCAAATGCATCCGCATCCTAGTTACGGTATTATGTCCAAAACCATGTTTATTCCTCCTTCCAGTAGTAGTTGCCTGTCAGTCTTTGGAGTTCTTGCCATGCAGTAGTATTACTGCAGCTTTTTCGGTATGTTGCACTCCCCCGTATAGTTCTCACCTGGGCAATTTCTTACAGAGAGACCAATCATAGCTGGGCTAGGGGCTCACTGTTATATGATATGACTTCACTTTAGCTAATTGCATTAGCAGTGGCCCTATTTCCAAGTGATTCCCATTCTCAGGTACAGGATGTTAAGACTTAAACATGTTTTTCAAAGGGGAGGGACCAATTCATTACACCAACTAGAAGTGAGGGTATCATAAAAGATGTTTTAGGGCTATGGCTGTAGTTATGGGGAAAAGAAATATGCCTATGCATTTAGTATTGTTCTTTGTGTGTCTGAGATCATTTCATTCGTACTTTACTGTGTTTTGTGACAACTAGTAGTCACTGCAATGCCTTCTTAGTAAATACCTATTCTGTTTGAGAAAGTAAAACTAAAATGGATAACATAAAGGGGCCAGAAGCAAATGTCTGTCAACCTTGTATAGGTGCAAGCAGTGTATTACATAGCTAAGGGTGCCCGAACCCTTATTTTCAATATCTGGTTCTGTAAACATGCTGCTGCTTGATGATGAAAGGAATTTTCTATAATGGCTGACATACACATAGACATTTGTGTTGAAAGTCAAGTAGGCTATAGTCTACCACCCCCCCGCAAATGCTGTACCTGTTAAGAAATTATATTAACAAGCCCTATAAAAGCCCATGGGTTTCTGTAATTGGAGCCCAGAACCTCAGAGTGTCAGCTTGTCTGGTCTGCTAGCTTAATAAAAAGTTCTCCAACTGTTCAGGTGAGTGCTTGGTTTCGCCACTGATTTTCTCTGACAGTGTGTCAGTGGTAAAATATTGTGTCAGGCATGCTGAACCCTGGGCTTGATCCTGAAGACCATAATTTTTTATTAGATACTGAAATTCTAAAAAAACTTTTACTTTCCATACATAATTTTCTCAAAAGCAACTATAAAATGTGCTCCATCAGAATTAGGAAGTTAAGCTACAGATGTAATTCAGTAGAAGAGCACTTGCTTAGCATTCACATGGCTCCTGAGTTCAATCCCCAGAAAAGCGAGAACCAATATAAATTAAGGTAGCTCTAGAATGATTTTTTAAAATTTTATTTTTATTTTATATATGAGTATTTTGCCTGCAGGTATGTAAGTACACCCGTGCATGCAGAAGAGGGCACTGGATCCCCTGGAACCAGGGTTCCGGACACTTGTTAACTACCATGTGGGTGCTAGGAACTGAACCTGGGTCCTCTGCAAGAGTAAACAATATTCTTAACCACTGAGCCATCTCTCCAGCCCCTGGAGTGATTGTTTTAGTAGGATCTCCAAAGAAATAGAACCAGTAGAATGTGTATTCATGTGCATTTGCTGAGATTTATTATGAAAGTCTGATTTAGATGATCAGGAAAATGATCTGTCTGCAAGCTGGAAACAGGAAAAAAGATGATAATAGTTCCAGCACAAACTCAAAGGGTGGTTACTGGTGTAAGTCCTAGTCTGTGTCTGAAGACCTGACAACCAGAACCACCAAAGTCTAAAGGCAGAAGGCAGCTCTCCCGACTCAAGCAGAGAAAGCAAGTTGTGCCTTTCTCTTGTATGTATCAGGGGCCCCCAAAAGACTAATTCAATGATGCTCACCCACATTACTGAAAGTGACCTTTACTCAGTTTATCAGTTCAAATGCTAACCTGTTGCAGAAACACCCTCAATGATAAATCCAAAAATAATGTTTTACCAGCTGTCTGAGCATCTGTTTGGCTTGTCAAATTGGCACCTAAGATTAACCATCAGAACTTTTCTGCTGAGTTTGGAGAAGAGGTCCCTCTGTAGTTCTCACAGGCAACCTGTCCTGTGCCTGGGTTAGGGATGCACTGGATTACCAGGGCTTGGGCCCATTGATGGACCCAGTATGAACATTGTGGACCTAGTCAGCCTGCATCACCTTCCCCTTGAAGTCATCTTCAGTTGCAATGCGGGACTGTGAAAGTGAATGTCTAGAAGCCGGGCAAGTTCGAATTGTGCATCTATCAGGTGCTGCTCAAGCTGGAGATGAATTTGGACCTCAAAAGGCTACCAAGTGAGCTCAGAATCAATGTGACCAGAAAATCTAAGTTTTTGGTTCATAATTTTTGTTCCAGTTCTTCAACTGAAATATTTCTTTAAAAAAAAATCCAATCTAGCCAATGTGTGAACTGGAGAAAAAGTTCAGCAGGAAGTCTGTATTCTTAGTTGCCCAGAGGAGAGTTCTGCCTAAACTAACTCAAGAGTCATACTCAAGATAAGCAAAAGCATCCAGGAAGCCGCACCCTGATGACTGTGTATGATGCTCTCCTTGAGAACTTGGTCTTCCCAAGTGAAATTGTGTGCAAGTGGAATCCTGGGAAGCTGGGCAGCACCTGGCCCATCAAGGCTCATTTAAACAAAGCAGGGCAAAATAATGTGATCCCAGGCTGAAACTTTTCCTGGTGTGTATAAAAAGGTCATGGACAAGGATGTTAATTTTGAATTTGTAGAGTTTCAGTTATAAACAGAAATCGTGTATCATTCACAGAAAAATAAAAAATAAAAAGAAAGAAAAAAAAAAGATTAACCATCCCAACGACGCAATCATGATGGGAAACCCAGTTAACAGTCATGAAGCTTGCCGCAACAGCAATTAGGGCTGGAGAGATGGCTCAGCTGTTGGTTATGAGTACTTGTTCCTTCTGCAGGGGACCTGGGTTCAGTTCCCAGCACCCACATGGCAGCTAACAACTGTAACTCCAGTTCCAGGAGATCCAATGCCCTCTTCTGGCCTCCATGGGCATCATATACATGTGGTGCACTTACATATCATATAGACAAAACATATAAAATACAAAGAAATAAAAATTTTAAAATAGAGCAACTTATTCCTACTGGGGTAGAACAGAGGACCAGATACAGTGTCTCCAAGGAGAAATAAAAGAAGAAAGAAATTTGTTGTACTGGAATGAAAATAACACATCTTTTAATAGAGAGTTTGTGGATGAACTGGTGAAAGAGAAAACTAAACGAATAGGGAAGAGTGATAAAGTTGTGGAGGGAAACACAACAGGATACAAGATAGATTAGCTACTTACAGAATCTACAGGAAGCAAAGGTGTGACATGTCCTTTATTTTGGCTTTGAGACAGGGATTTTGTTTTCTGTGGGACTCAGCATGGTCTCAAACTTTCAGTCCTCCCATATCAGTTTTCAGAGTGCTGTGATTATAGGCACATGCCACTACAAATCTGACAAGATGTATTTTAACAAAATGAAAATAATGAAAGTCAAATAGCTATAAGTATTAAGTAAGGTAAAGCATAATTTATTTTGGAGTCCAAGTTGTCATATTTTCAATTTGAAATATTCACTCTTGGCTACAGATTTTATTAAAAAGGTATAAAAGGACCACATTTTAAGCACTATTTGAATACTTAAAAAGCACAGATAACGGTGCCTGTGAGGTGGCTCAGAAGGTTTGCTGCCAAGACTGACGACCTGAGCTTGATCCTGGGACTTCACAGTGGAAGGAGACAACTGACCTCCACACATGTGTCCTCTGACCTCCACACATGTGCCATGGCATGTGAATATGCCATGAATCTCCCTGAAAATAAATAAATGTTAAAAAGAAGAGCACAAACAGTTTTGAAGGGTTTAAAGATTAAGTAATTTTCATTTGTTAGATTTGTAAAATTGCATCATTCAATGTTTGAATCCCATTTAGCTATAGTCACTCTATGAATTTGCTGCTCTTGATCCACAGTTCAGCTATCAGTGCCTGGCAGAGGTGATGATTAACTCAGCTAGACCTGTGGGCAGATATGACTAGTGCATGACATGCAATGTATTTGGCATGTCTGCTATAACATTATATATAATATTTGAGGAAAACGTTGTAATTCCAGATGAGTAGCATCCCAACATTATGGTAAAAGCAATGGCCTAAATATCAAGAGCTCTGGGGTCTGGTCATAGCTGGAACAATAAGTGATAGTATGATCTTGAGAATATCATATTCTCACTTTTGATCTATTTCCTCATTTATCAAGAACATGAAATAAGATCTTCCTGCCATAGACTGAACAGATGGCTCAGTGGTTGAGAGCACTAGTGGCTTTTGCAAAGAACCTGGGTTCAATTCCCAGCACCCTCATGGCAGCTCACAGTTGTCTGTAACTCCAGTTCCAGAGGAATTTGATGCCCTCTTCTGACCTCCATGGGCATT